TACATTTCTAAATGGTTGGAAAAAGAACCATGTTGTGTGACATGTGAAAATCACACGAAATTCAAATTTCGGTGTCCATAAATAAAGAGATACTGGAATACAGCCACGCTCATTTGTTTCTGCATCGTCTATAACTGTTCTCATGCTATAAGGGCACTAAATAGTTGTGACAGAGACCCGCGTGGCCTGCAAAGCCTAAAATATGTACCATCTAGCTCTTTATGCAACAAGTTTGCTGACCCCTGAAATCAAGGAAAGGGGACCCAGACGGGTCATGGAGGGATACTGAAAACGAATACGGCCTCCTACTTGACCATTTTACCAGAGGCGGGACTGGAGCACCATGGGAAGGGAAAGGGAGAAAGAGGAGGACGAGGAAGGTCTTTAGAAATATTTGCTGACAGAGAATGCCACCCTAAAGCTCTAGTGGAGTCCCTCCTGCCCTCCACCCAAGCCCAAGCGCACACAAGGGACTCCCTCCCCCACCACGGCCCTCACTGACCAGGCCCACAGTGTTGAACAAAACGCCCGTGAATGTTGGAAGTTCATTCAGAATTCGAAGATACTGGAGCTTTGCCTGAATTGCAGAGCCCTGTGGAAACAACCCATGCAGACACGTGAGAAGCCTGAGTTGCACAGGAAAAGCAAACCTGTGTTCTCAGGAAGGAGTGTCAACATCTTGGGACGGGCACTAGTCAGGCTCGTCAGCAAGCCACACCGGGTGTGTGAGGAGACCCTCCAGAAAAATGGCAGGAAGGTTCCAGTTTGGACAACTCTTGCCTCTAGTCATCCCGTGTCCCTTTCTAAACCTTCCTCTGACCTCCTGTTCCTTGTGCCTTAAAAACCCAGCTTAGTCATTTTGTTCTCAGGATAATTCCAACACCTCCCCCCAGCTCGGACGTCCCACCTCATCTCTACATCTGTCCTGAGATCCCCTGCTGCTGCCTTGGTACTGGCCATCCCCAGCCAGGGGTCCCAACGATGCCTTTAATCCTGAGCACCCCTAAGCCTCAAGCCTGTTCTTCCTCTGCCATCCCCTCATAGAAAAGTCTCTCTCAGTGGTACCAGCTTCCCCAGGCCTTTGAGCCAGAAACCTGTATCACGCCGGGCTTCCCCCTCATTCTCTCACCTGAGCGCCATCAGCCACCACGTCGCCTTGATTGGACCTCCTAACTTCCTCTCTGACCTACCCATACTCTTTTCCCTCAACTCCTCCCCACTGCTGTTAAGGGTGGCAGCCTCAAACAGAAGTTCGATCATGTCAGCCGCCTGCTTAAATCCTTCAATGCCTTCTTGATGCCCACAGGATGAAGTATGACCCCTCTCCACGGCACACGAGGTGCTCCAGGAACCGGCTCCTGCCAGCTTCTCTGGCTTTCTCTCGTGCCCCCCTCCTGAGGCATGTGCCTTGCACTCTCTGTACTTGCTTATGTAGAACTATTTGCATTTCTTTCCATGCATAATGTTCTCTTATATCCCCACGGCATTGTACTGACGGATCTGCCTGCCTGGGAAAGTCTTCCTCCCCCTCCCGCCTCCCCCTCATCTAGACAAACTCCTATCTGTCTGTCAGGACCCAGATCTGGCATCAAACGCACCAATTCCTGGCCTTTTCTACCTCCCTAAGGCTGGGCTGGGTGTTCCTCCGCCTCCGTGTTTCCAGAGCCCCCACGCCTGTTGCATGGTGTTGTGACCGACTGTCGCTCTGTGTTGTGACTGTCGTGTTTCCCCACTAGCCTGTGCCTGACTTAGGGCTGCGGAGCAGGCAGGCCTTTTTAATCTTTGCCTCTCCAGCCCAAGCACTGGCGGGGGGGGGGGGGGCGGATCCTCAAAAAAAAGTGTTTGCTGAGGAGATGGTCGGGGAGGAGGGGAGCGCTGATGTTCTCCCTCTGGGAATAAAACAATTTGATTAAACATGCACAGCAAGGTAGGCCCGACTTAACTCTCTGGGGAAATTTGCATCTTAAAAGAGAAGCTTGTGGGTAATACAAGTAATCCGGAATGGGTGGTATATGGAGGGGGGGGCAGGGCCGGGCGACTGTGTCCTTTGTCTCTGTCTGTATGCTGATTCTGCGGCCTTTAACCACCCCTCCTGCCTCCTGGGCAAGAAGCAACCAGAAGACTGAGAAGGGCTAGAGACCTTCAGGGCTGGAGGTGGGGTGACTGGGAGTCCCTCAGAGGGCACAGCAGTGACGTGAACCCTCGCCACGCTGCCCAGTGACCCATGCTCCAGGTCAGGCCTTGTCCCACCGGGCTGAGCTTTCATCTCCCAGAATTCCCTATTCCCCGCCTGACGAATTAGAAAGCTAATGAGGAACAGAGCAGTCCTTTCCATGGAAAACATGCCTCCCCAGAGTCCAGTGCTGTCCACACAGCAGGTGCTCAGTCAGCACAGACGAAATGGGCGGAATGATCGGAGAATTGCCTCCTCCTGCACCTCGGCCCGGCCCCTTTGCTTTGAGGATCCTGGGCTCTCGCGGTGACTTGCCCCTGAGCAGCTCAGGTTTGGGGAAAATCCCTCTCCACCATCATCCCCCATATCCAGCCAAACTGGATGTGTACCCAAGTCAAAGATGGGGGTGGGGGCAGTTCCCTCGGAAGACCAGACCTGCTGGGAAACCACACAGGAGAGCTGCACAGCCCCAAGCGCCTGAGCAGGGCCCCAGTGGATGACACTTGGTACCTTGGTGCCAGTGGAAGGATGTGTTTGGTGGGCCTTCAGTTGCTGTGAGAGAGATTTCCGAAGGTTCTTCTCTTTGATGCCCTGTAGGAGGGAGGGAGGAAGAAAGGGTTCCAGGCCCCATTCCTTCCTAAGAGCAGAAAGAAGAAAAGCGAGAAATTAGTGAGGGTGACAGAGCGGGGCTGAGAAAAGAAGATGGTGAGGCAGAAATCAGATCTGAGAGGCAGAGGGAGGGATGGAGCCTGTAAGAAAAAGAGAGGGATGAGGGCAAGAGAATCCCATTGGCCATGATTCTCTGGTAGAAGCTGGAGCTCAAAGGCATCACGGCCTAGGTGTGAGGAACCATAATCCTCACTCCCACCCCGGGGCCCTACATTCCTGAAAAGCATAGCACAGCTCAGTCGTTGCACTTTCTCCCTTTACAGCTATTTGCCACCTTCCCAAAGGGCCCTGGCACAACTCACTCCACATTCTTGAGCGAGATCTTCTGACTAGGTCGAGTGGCCGAGACCGTGATATAGATGTGGAGGGCAGCAAGGCCCAAAAGCATCTCCGGCTTGGGGTCCATTCCAAAGCGTTCGCGGATAACATCGTTCCGACTCTGCAGGAGAGGGCAGTCCAAACCTGTCAGTTAAAAAAGATGTTCCCTTCCCACCCCCCACCCCCCACTCCACCCCAGATCTACTCCCTTGCATCCCAGAAAAGAATGGCGGTGTCCAGTAAGACATCCTAGATAAAGGGGAAGAGGAAATTTCTGCCTTTGGGGGAGAGGCAACAGAGGAACCTTGGGTCTCAGGGACACTATTTTGCTTCATTCAGCAGATCCTGGACAGGCCTCTCAGGGATAGATGCACACAATGGCGAAGTCCAAATGGGCAGAACATCTAGGTCACTGCAAAAGTGAGACACGGCACCACTCTCTTTCTTTCGTCTTGTTACAAGAGGCCTAAACTCACTCCCCAGCCATACAGGGATCTTCTACTAGCTCAGATGGGAATAAAGAGAGATACTGGGAGGAGCTCTCCATAGCACTCTGACCCCAAAGCCCAGGGTGAGAGATGGATTGCAGGGATGGAGCAGATATTCTGTTCCTAGGGGTCTGAAGGTCAAAAGCAGCAATGAGTCAATCTTCTCTATGTTATCCTAAAGGGGGTCCCCTGGAACTACTGGTCAAGGGTATGATAGTGCACAAACCCTGAGGGTTAGAGTCTCAGCTCCTGATGATTCAGCCTAGGTTAGACCAGTTGCCCATTTGGTTGAGGTGAAACCTGGATGAGCCGAGGGACTAGGGAGCCACAGTGGTATCACCACAGCATAGGAGAGAGTGGAAAAGGAATGCTTCATCAGTGATCATCTATGTAGAAAATCCAATGGAATCTACCAAACGCCTACTAAAACTAATGAGTTAGCAAGGCTGCAGGACATAAGAGCAACATACAAAAACCAATTGCATTTCTACATGCTTGCGACAATTGGAAAGTCAAATTACAAGTCAAAACCATTTATAATAGCATTGAAAACTCTAAAATAATTAGGGATAAATCTGTCAAAATAAGTGAAAAGCCGGTACACTGAAAACTAGAATATCCTGATGAGCAAAATTAAAGAAGACCTAAATAAATGTAGAAATATACCATGTTCATGGGTCAGAAGACTCGTTATTAGTACGATGTCAATTCTCCCCAAACTGATCTATAGATTCAACCCAACCCTAATCACAATCACAGCAGATTTTTGGTAGAAATTGACAAGCTAATTCTAAAATTCAATGCAAAGGACCTAGAATGACCAAAACAACTTTGAAAACGAAGAACAAAGTTAGAGAGTAAGTGCTACCTGATTTTAAGACTTACAAAGCTACAGTAATCAAGAGTGTGATGTTGGCATAAAAATAGACAAGTAGATCAATAAAGAGTTCAGAAATAGACCCACACACCTTTATAGACAACTGATTTTTGACAAAGATGCAAAGACAAGACAGTGGGGAAAGGATAGTCTTTTCAACAAATGGTGCAGTCACAGCTGGATATTCATAATACAAAAGAGAGAGAGAGCGCGCACGAGAGAGAGAAATTTGGTCGATACCTTGTACTGCATAAGAAAAGTTATGTCAAAATGGATCACAGACCTAAATGTAAAAACTAAAATGCTAAAACTTCTAGAAAAAAAAAGGAGACAATCCCTGTGACCTCGAGTTAGGCAAGGATTTCTTCAATATGGCATTATGAGCGTGATCCATGAAAGCATTATCCATCAAAGAACAAAGTGAGAAATTAGACTTCATCAAAATTCAAACATTTGCTCTGTGGAAGACACTGTTTAAAGACTGAAAAGGGAAGCCACAGACTGGGAAAGAAAACTGCAAATAACATATCCAACAAGCAACTTCTATCCAGGATATATAAGGAAGTCTCGTAACTCGGTAACAAGAAGATGAACAACCCCAATAAAAAAGGAGGCAAAAGATTTGAAAAGACACTTCACCAAAAAAGATGTATGTTGTCAAACAAACACATGAAAAGGTGTTTAACATTAGTCGGTGAGAAATGCAAGTGAGATACCACCAAGATACCACTGAATACTATTAAAACAACTTAAAAAAAATACTGAAAAATACCAAGTGCTGATGAGGACGTAGAGAAACTGGAACTCTCATACATGGCTGGTGGGAATATAAAATGGCACTGCCACTTTGGAAAACAGTATTAGAGTTTCTTTTTAAAAAATGAAAGAAAGAGATCTCCCGTATGATCAAACCATTCCATTCTTAGGTATTTACCCAAGAGAGAAAAGAGCACATGTCATACAAAGACTTGTACATGAATGTTCATAGAAGCTTTGTTCGTAGTAGCCCAAACCTGGAAACAACTCAAATGGCCATCAGCGGGTAAACTGATAAAAACATTTTGGTACATCCATACCATGGAATACTACTCAACAATAAACAGGAATGGAATAATGAAATACACAACAAAGACAGATCTCAAAGTCATTAGGCTGGGTGAAGTAAGTCGGACCAAAATAAATGTACACACCGTACGGTTTCATTTATATAAAATCTCTAGAAAATGTGAACTCATCTATAGTGACAGAAAGCAGGACAGTGGTTGCCTGGGGATTGGGGGCAGGGAGGGAATTACACAGAAGCCTGAGGAAACTTTTGGGGGGCACTGGATATGCTCAATATCTTGGTTGTGGTGATGGTTTCATGGGTATAAACATGTCGAAACCTACCAAATTGTCATTTTAAATATGTGCAGTTTATGGGTCAGTCATACCTCAATAAAGCTGTTCGACATAAAAAATAAGAAATTACAGGTGAAGTCCATATCATCATGAAGGGGAGGGACGGGGTGGACACGGTCTTGACACCAAATTCCAAAATAATTGAACCAAGGTGATCCCCGGAAGCTTGGATGAAGACATTTAGGGCCAACAAAATGAGAACTAAACTTAAAGAATTCATAGAGGAACCACAACTCATTGTCCCCAGAGTGCTGGTAGAGGAGCCCAGGGCTGTTTGAGAAATGTTCCTCACATTTTGGATTGTTAGAAGGGACAACCGCGATGTCTTACAGCATGTCTGCAGGTGTCAGAGACATCATCAGAGATGAGTCTGGAGCTCATTTTTCTCCTCTTGTCAAGCACTCTGTACGTTCTATGGGCACCTAGGACTCAACACAAAACGATCTCATCTTTTCCCCAAACCCATTCCGAAACTCCCTGTATTCCTTCACTTGGAGAATGAGACCACCTCTACCAGACGCACATTGAGTCAAAGCCCATTGGTTCTACCTTTTCATTATCTCTTGAATCCCGCCCCCCCATCCAAAACTGCCCTGGTTCTGGCCTCCATCATGTCTCCCCCGTAGCTCCCCAGCTGGTGTACTCCCTCGGCACCTATGTAATCTTTCAAAGTTGCTCATCTGCCCAGGCTGCTCTCCTTTCCACATTTCTGCACCCCCACCCTACGGCAGAATTTCTTTACCCCTGGCTACTCCCGAGAACCACCTGAGGAATTTAGAAAACATCAGCGTTTGGAGCCCATTCCCATAGATTTTGATTCATTTGGTCGTGGGTGGAGCAGAACATTTTTTTTTTTTTTCCAAACCTTCTCAGATAATTCTAAGTGCAGCTAGGGGTAAAACCCACTGCCCTAAAGCAGTGGTTCCCAAATGCCACTGGGCATCAGAATTACCCAAATGGGCTCGGTAAACCCGGGATCCTGTGATGGTGACAGAGTGACACAGGTTGCCTGCTCCCCCAAACTGATGAGATCTGCCCAGACACCTAGGCGGGACTTGAGCTACACCAAGCACCGGTCACCAGGCTAAACAACGTGGCCGTGGCCCACAACCGTAGCAGGAAAGGAGAGGGCCTTCAGAGCTACCCGGAGGTTGGAGTACCTTACAGAGCGACTTCATGGTGATGGCAGAACAGCCTGACTGCTTGTTTGTCCATGGGTCTGTCTGTCTGTGTACCCCCAATCAGACTCTACCTGGATGTACAGGTACTCGAAAGCAGCGGGATCCCGACGCAGCAGTTCCACGGGGTCTTTGGGAAAGAAGCTGATTCGGAAGAGGCATTTCATTCCTTGGTAGTGTGTCCGCTGTACCACCTGAATCCCAGGGATGAGAGGGGTGAGGAAAGAGTTCTGGGAATCCCTGGCCCGTGGCCGTAGGGGTGAGAGCCAGCTTGGTGCCTCCTCAAGGCGGGGCTCGGGGCTGAGCGAGGTGGCTGCTTACCCCTGCCTCCCACCTGGCCCAGCCCAATTACCCTTCGAGGAAAGGTCTTGCCTGCCCTTCTGGTCCAAAGTGACTAGAAATTTTTTAAAGACCTTTTTTTAAAGATCTTATTTATTTATTTGAGAGAGAGGCGGAGCGCACGGGCTAGGGGAGGGGCAGAGGGAGAAGCAGACGCCCCGCTGAGCAGGGAGCCTGATGTGGGACTCGATCCCGGGACTCCGGGGTCATGACCTGAGCCGAAGGCAGACCCTTAACCCACGGAGCCACCCAGGCGCCCCAAAGTGACTAGGATTGTCGAATCACTTAACCAGGACATGGCCTTTATCAACAATGGGGTCTAAGGCCCAAGATACAAGATGGGAAGAGAGGGCTCCTGGTAACTTCTCCGACTCTTCTTGCTGCGGGTCTAACACCTTTACCTTGCAGAGAGGCTCAGCGCCAGCAGAGTAAGTGGCTGATTAAAAAAGCCAAACCAAAGCTTTAAAATCCCATTTGGAGGTATAGGGGAGACAAGCTGGCCATGTATGGGTAACTGCTGAAGCTGCCATAGGTCATGACAATTCATGATACAATTCCTTCTACTCTTGTGGATGTTTGAGGTTGTTTTTTTTTTGCAATAAAAAAGTTTAAAATCCTATTTGGAAAAAGAGACCAATTGGATTCAGAAGGCCTCTTGAGAGGCTGGGTGGGAGGTGCATAGGCCTCCCTTCCAAGCTAACAATCTTCCCTCCACAGGGGGGAACCTGTGAGGCTTTGGACTGCATTTGGCTGAGAGCTAACCTTGAAGAATTGTTCTTTCCTAAAGTCCTTTCTTGTGTGTGTGTGTGTGTGTGTGTGTGTGTGTGTGTCTGATTTTGGTTTTTGTCGCACTTGCATTTAGGCACTTCTTCCCAATTGTCCCTCTCCAATTCCTTCCTTCCCTCTCTGGGAGTCCTGATTGGCCTCCCTGGCTCTTCTTGGTGCTTCCCCATTGGCGAAGCCAGCATTTTCTGGCTCTACCCAGCCTCTTTCTCCTACTCTGCCTTGGAAGTGGATGTGGGTGATGTGCTGCCCATCCCCCACTCAGCCCATTCTCAGCCTACACTTGTCCCGGCCTCAGTGGTCTCGATAGACTCCACTTGTTGACCTTTTTGTACTAAAGCCTTCATCGGAAGGCCAAGTTTCCTCTCAGAGACAGAAAAGTCTAGCCGGCAGGGCCCCCAGGAGACAGGAGGCTTGGCACGGCTATCTCAGCATTCTGGGAGCCACGCAGTGACTCACCACCCCACACCTTCCCCACTGGAGACCAGGACTGACAATCTTCATGCCCTTCTCAGGTCACGAGGAACATTGCCCAAAGCCCACTGGATGTGGTCAGTATAGACCTTAACTGAGAACTGTTCATTTCTGGGGGCTGGCTGGCTGAGGAAATCATTATGAATTTTCCAGAAAGAGGGTGCCCGGAGTCCTCTTCTCTATTAGAGGCCACAGGCAGCTCTCAAGCCAGGCCGAAGGAGTTGCTTACATAAGCCAGAGGCTGCTTGTCCTGGAGAAGCAGGAACTTGTGGTTCTGTTCCGGCCCAGCATACTCAAGGACTAGAGCGAAGTGCTCAATGTACCTCAGGGAAAGACGGTCCTGTAATGTCACCATCACATCCTGTGGAAGAGAAGAGAGCCTTGAGAGGCAGATACATTCCAGTTCCATACCACTCTCGGCACCAAACATGGGAGAGGGGGACTGCACCCCAAGAGAGATGGTCCTGGGGAGGCGGCAGAAGCCGGGAGAGTGGCCAGACGGAGACACAGGCCTTTAGGGTGGCCCAGGCATTCTCCAGGATGAGGAGAGGAGGGACCCTGAGTACTTGGGCCCTGGCGAACACCAAAGGTGCAGGGTAGGAGAGGGCGGGGCTTCTGAATTTGGCCTGGCCAGACATCTGGCAAAAGGTGGTCATGGCCCTCCCTCCCTCCTTCTCTCCTTCCAGTCAACAAAATGCTTTCGGAGTGCTTACCAAGCGGGCCACTGAATAAGGAAGGCACTATGCTGGTTCTTCCTGACCTTACGTAAGTCAGAACCTTCACTCTAGTTTGTCCACCAACCCTTTCCTCAGGAACGAGCAAAAGCCAGAGCCACAATCACGTAATTAAAAAGCAGACTATTTCTGGATTCATAATCCAAATCGAATGACTTGAGTTACTGGCAAAATGTTCGTTTTTGATCGTAGCTGGCTTTCAGAGACCATCAATTTAGCAACTTGAAAAATGTGTCCATGCGGAGGAACCACGTCACGTGTCTGTGTACAGTCACAAATCTGACTACTTCGGGGTTCTGTCTGCTCTGCTGCCCTACTTTTAATATTAGGATGTCTGCAAACCTATCCTTGGGGGCTGCCAGATGTCAGTTTTGAGACTTCGGCCGTCTACTTGCTGTGACTTCAGCACACACTGGGCTCCATTGTGTGTGTGTGTGTGTGTGTGTGTGCTCCTGGAGTCAGCACAGCTCAGACCCCAGAGGCCAGAACGCAGCCGGCTTGGGAATGCGCGGTTCCCTTATACCCAGAGTTGCCAAACAAGCCCCTCAGTGAACATTCAAGGACGCTAAGCCATTCAAACGTGAGGCTGGCAACTGGTGGGTACTTGAGAGTGTCTCTTTGTGGCGTCCAAGTAGCCACAGAGGTGCCAGTGCGGATGGAGCTCTGGCGGGGACAAATGAGGCTTTCTTTGCTGTTTAGCTGCACTAGGACTGTGGATGGCCAAGCTGGTGACTGCCAACTGGTGGGACAAGTGGAGCAGCCTCCGTGCCAGGCTTTCGAGTCACCCTGGTACCTCTCTGGGACAAGTTCCCATGAATGGCCAGTGCACTTTCCCTGAAGTCAGGGTGAGATCACAAGCCAGGGGACACTGCTGTCCTGGAAGGCTAGGGCTACCTGGGGGCAACAATGTCATTGGGTCACTGGGTCATCACTGTGAGGTCGGGAGACACTGGGAGAAGCCTCCGAGGGGAATGAGAGGAGCAAATGTTCTGGTGTGGGGACAGATCTATAGGGAACATACTGACCCACGAATAAATGCCATGGAGGATTCTGATGCAGAGAGATAGCCACATCTGGAGGAGGGGCATTTGGACACCCCTGGGTGGCCTAGTTGTGCTTCAATGTCCCTCCCATAGGCTGAGACCGCCGACAGGCAAGAGACCATCCCAGGATACCCTCAGGAATATGTTTTGATCCTAGGCCCCTTGGGGGACCCAGCCAGGCCTCAGCCTTCCGAAGAGACTCTCCGTTCCAACGACACGGGTAGGCCGGTGTTTTATAACTTTTATAACTTTATACTGGTACTTAGGGCAGGACAATTCTTCATCATTCAGGGACTGTCTCCTTGCAGGACACTCAGCAGCTCTGACCCTCAGACACTCAATGTCAGTAGCACCCCAAACCATGGGATGACCCCCAAATTCCTCAATGCCATCTGGGAGGGGAGTGGCAACTCTGGCTGAGAACCACTGGTGAGGCCGCCCCTGAACACCTGATAATTCCTCTTCGGGAAATTTCCTGGCCCAAGGGTTTCTTTCTTTAGAGGGTTGTCCTGGCCCCAGCCTGAGGACCTCAGGACGCCTATGAGCCAGGCTGGGTTTTCCGGGCAGAAAGATGCTATTCCACTGGTTGCGTGGAAATTCATTCTAGGGGGTCCAGAAGAAACAGGAGCAGTTATTTCTGTTCCAGATCAGAGCTGAACCTGGGGGTCAATCGTTTCATTGCCTCTTCTCCTCAGGACGAAGGGAATCGCTACAGCTTTTAGACGGCTGGCCGAGTTCTTAAGAATCACAGCTCAGTAGTCGCTCTCTCTATGAAAGGAATAGCCAAAGGGACTGTTGCTGGACGTTTCCAATCTTGGCTCAGTGCTTAAGATCTGATGGCTATTTCAGAAGCAAAGCATGGCTAAGCTAATCTCCCAAGAGATTGTGTTTGTTGATTTCTGTGTGTATTTGTGCATAGGTGTTACTGTAGCAATATAAATCACCTTTGCTTTATAAATGTTTTAATGATCTTCATACTCCTTAGCTCTTAAGAGTCTTGAAGGACCCGGTATAACACGGACACAACGTAGTTCACAAGTAGGTATGCACATACAATGCACTCGTGCTTGTGCGCACATGCGTGGTGTGCATGCACGAGCATGCACACGCAAACACACAGACACATGTAGTTGGGCACTCAGATGCCTCCCCCCACACACACACCCTCACCCGAGGGCTGCGTGTTCTTGCAGCCTGGGGCTCACAGAGGCAGAAGCTCCAAGGCCACCTCGCTCCCCAGCAGCACCTCTGTGCAGACTCACAGACAGTCAGGAACCAGCAGCCATGCGTGCCCCAGAGAGGGCAAAGGCTGACCCGAGAGGGAGGAGACTCTGTATGTACCTTAACAGTGGTCCGGCCATCAAAAGTGAATGATTTAATCTGCCCATTTTCTAAGAAAACTTTCAGGACGTTGGGGATGAGGAGAATAGCTTCTTTCTTCATCATTTTCTGTGAATAAGCAGGGAAAGGTCAAGGAGAGGGGCTCATTTAGAAGGCAGAGGGAAGCCAGAGGAGGAGTATAGAAAGGAAGAGAAGGGAGCGAGTGAAGGAGACAGGGAGCCAAAGACAGGGAAGGACAAGGAGACAGAGGAAAGAACAGATCAGTGATCATGCTACCTGCAGACCAGAACCAAAGGCTCTAAGAAAACATTGGGCCATATCAAAAGTTCACCCTTCATTCGGTATCATGGCGCACCCCCATCCTACTGTGGCTTAGAGTTCTACACCTTAGGGTGGTGCTTGGCCCACAGAGACCACCATGCACTAAAGAGTAGATGGAAGGCCTCCTTAGGACCCACCTCACCCGCCTGCTCTTATATCCCGACACTTCCCTTTCCACCAAGCCCTTCACATGCAGAGATCATGTCCACATCCTTGCCTTTGCTCTGCCAACCCCCTCCCTGCCCCCATAGTCTCCTAGGTCCTTTCTGACCTGGCCCCTGCCTACTTCTCCAGAGTCCTGTCTTGACAGTCCAGGTACCCACCCTGCACTTTCATGCCTCCATACCTCTGACAACCAATCATTCAGGGACTGTGTCCTCCCTGCAGGACACTACGCATTTCTGACCCTGAGACACTCAATGCCAATAGCATGCCAAATCGTCGGGATGACCCACAACACCCTCCGACATTTCCAAAAGCTGAGAGTGGGCAGTACTGAACCAAACTGGCAAAGCCCATGTTTGAACACCTGATAACTTGTTAGCAAAAGTTTTCTTGGCCCAGGTGTTCCTTGATTTACAGAGTGGTGCATGTTAAGTTCTCAATAAATATGTGTTACATAAAGACTGTTCTCTCTGCCTTCCTCTTTGCCTCCTTGGCCAACTCCTACTCATCCTTCAAAACCCAGCTTAAATACCAATTCTGTGAAGTCCTGTCCAAACTCATCAGGTACTTGGACCTGGTGTTCCCGTGTGTTCTCAGAGTAATGTCACACACACCACTTTCAGTGTTCTTAGCATATTTTTGGAGAATTTTTGTCTCTCCCAAATGGTGAACTCGTAGCACATCCATGGCCCTATTCAATCTTTGTAGTTCTGACATTGAGCAGAGTCCCTGGCACATAGTTGGGGCTCAGTATATGGGTACTGAATATATGAGCAGTAGATGCTTAATACGTGCTTACTTGAATGATCAGAATCATCAGGAGAGTCCAATCATTTCCTTGGGCCATCACCAGGTCTATAGGAACCAAAAAGCTGCCTAAAATGGTCAGAAATCCTTAATTCAGTGGGCATTCATTGAGCCTCTCCTCTATGCCCCACACTATGCTAAGTAAGCTCCATGAGGGCCAGGCAAAAATAGAGGACTGGGTTTGGTCTTATACTCTTGTCGTAGAGACCGGGCACATCCACACGAATCCACTAGAGAGCAATTATAAAACCAAAACTAAACCAAAAGCTGTAAGATAGATAAGATTTCCTAGGTGAGACTAATTAGATTTTGATTTGGAAGGAGACGGCGGGCGCAGACCACTAGAGAGGCCCGAAGAGGGCTAGTCCACATCTAGGGACTGTCGCGGACATGAAAAAATGAACAAGCAGGTCCTCCCGCGTTGGGGTTTGGTTGGCGGTGGAGGGGAGCCAGGAGTGGGTATAAAGTTGGAAAAGTGTAGACTCCCTGGTTCTCGGCCTGATCCTGAGATGCCTTGCTCCTACCAAGCCCAGAGGCACTGGATCTCCAGGCTGACACTCGGCGGTGGCAGGTTTTATTTAGCACACTGGGTTGGACTCAGATAATTACTTAATTGATTTTGCTTAAAAATAGGGTTGGCAAGGAACGCCCACAGGATTTATTTTTGCTCTGGCTGCTTAATAAAGCCCCAGAACACCGAGGCAAAAGGAAGATAGGACAGCCTTGGAGTCACCTGGGCCTGGACTCCCCTAGGTCCCAACCAATGGTGAGGCTGCTAGGGTCCACACTGGTGCCATGGGAGGTGGGCGTTGTGACATCAGGCCATTTCCTGAGCACAGCTAGAGCGGGAAGATTGATGTCTGTTTGTCTGTCTCTCAGTCAAGAGCCTCACACTGCACGTGGTGGCCTGTCCAGGAGCGACAGAAGGCACCCTGGGTGGGGCCTAGCCACTCTGGGGCATTTGCTTTCAGGTTGGTCTGGGGTGGGGGCTTGATCTTGCCTGTGGATAGCTGAGATGTATGGAGAGGGGAATCATGGTGGAGGGAGGGGAGAGAGGGGAAGGAAGAGTAGAGGGGAGAGGCAGAGAGGGGAGGAGAAAGGGAAGGGAGAGGTGGAGGGGAAGTTTTCCCCTGGTGGCCTGGTCTTGAGTGATTACTCTGTAATGCTGAGAGTCTGTCCTTTCCAGATTCAATTTGCATCTCCTCTGGCTTTTCGAGGGCTCAGGACACACACGTCCCCTTAGTGGCTTGGCCCTAAGGGTGTCCTTCATCATGATCTGCAGGGTTTCCACGCAGTTCCCTCTTCTCTCTGCTCACCAACCCCCCACTTCTCTTGAACCTCTCCTGCTAGGAAGGAGATGGAGCCCAGCCACCAATTATGTGGCGGCTTCCCCAGGGGGACCCTGGAGTCCCCTGGGCTTCTCAGCTGTCCGTAAACGGGGATGGAAGAGGGCCTGGGCTGAGGCTGGGAATGAGTGCCAGGGAAAAGGCGATGGAAGACACCTGTGTCCTCTACCCCTTGTTCTGAGTGGCTCTACTTCAAAGAACTACACAAGTACCTGGCACCCCACAGATTTCCCCACTGGGCTGGGCCTGCTGGCTTCTTTTCTCAACTGCAGCTGTGCCTCGGACGGACAGACATGCCATGGGCCTCCCGGGAGCCCAGCCCGCAGAAGCCTCAAAAGTGCACAAATGCCTGTTAGCTCTGGCTCTCCCCGCCGCCCACCCCCACCTGGCTATCACGGACTTCTGCACACTCCTGGGGGACTCGGGCCATAATTCATGACTGCTTAACACACACCTCTCTGCCCTCCACCCATCTGTTATGTGGAGCAGACGGCTCAGCTCACGGAAACCCCCACAGAGCCCTGAGAAAGACTGCGGGCTGGCCATGACCGCCCCCCGCCCCCAGCCTGGCAGCTGCATGGCAATGGACCGTCAAGCATCACCTGCTCCTTGAAACCATACCACCCAGTGGGGGACGCTGTGTCATCTCAATCTGAACTACTTTCCCACCCCCCCCGAGCCCCCAACATCACTGAGTGGTATCCAGGGGCAGGGAAGAGGTGTTTATTTTGCATCCCTTGTGGCACTGAGGACACAGCAGGTGCCTAATCAAAGCTCTGTGACAATGAGAGTCTGTATCATATCCCCCAGGCTGCTCGCTGGGGTCTTCTCCCGTCAAGATGAACCATTGTGGGACCACTTCAATGTGAAGAGAGCTCGATTTCACCAGCCGCTCTTGCTCCGAATCTAGAAAACCACTACCTTCTCCTTCCTGCTTCTGTCAAACCGCCCAGAGATGTTTGTGGAGGGCTGGCTCTGAGTGTAAGCTTTGGTGCTCGGGATGCCACATACTCCTAACTCGCTACTAGTCTGGAGCCCCGTGGTCCTCCCTCTCCAACCCCATTCGTAATGCCGCCCACTCCGAGGAGCCGCAGATGAGCTCCAGAGCGAGACCTCCAGAGCGAGACCTCCATGGCCAGGCTGATTCTAGCCAAGGACCGAAGACAGGGAGCTAAATAAAGCTGCACTTACTGCGTCTGTTTCTCCAACTGCCACCTGCTCAGAAAATCGGACCTTCGCGGGATTCGATCTCAGCCTGGCCTTCTTCGCAGCGCTGATGAAGGCAGATTTGGGGGACTGCAAAAAGAACAGAGGGCCGGTGAGTTCTCCATCCCTGGGAAAAACCTGACCTTTGCCACGCTGGAGTTAAGATGTCTCAGTACGGGTACACTTGGCCTTACTGATCAATAAGTCAATAAGTAAGTATTGATTCCCTACTAGGTGCGAAGCAACGTGCTAAGTGCTTCCTTCTATGACTGGTGTGTTCTGAAAAAAGCTGGACATGAATAGAATTTGGGTAAATCGAATCCCGTTATTAACACTCTAGGCCTAGGGGAGTTTGCAAAAATTCTTTAGTGATAGCATACACTGAATAAGTACATATTTGGTTTTCGTAGTGTGAGATACACCTAAATGGTGGCTTTTATTAATCCGAATACGAGCATCTCAAAGGAGTTACAGGAATGATCTTATTCATCTCATAGATATGCCCTGCCCCCAGGAAGGAGACTAAAGAAAATGATTCAAGGAAAATCAGGAGTCTTGCTGAGGGGCCCCCTCATGTCTTTGGGGGCATTTATTCATTCGTGTGGCCAATTTAGGGAGGAGCTCCTACTTGCAGGCACTGTTCTAGGTGATGAGGGATTCAGCAGTGAGCAACACAAAGCTCCCAGGCCTCAAAGAGCATCCATCTAGCAGGATCAGACAGACAATAAACAAATCAATACCCTTTAGGTAGCAAAGAAGGACCCCGAGGCCAAATCAAGCAGGGTGAAGGGCTACACAAGAGAATGCACGAGTGAGGAGGGGTGAGTGATGAGGGCATTATTTTAGACTGGATGTTCAGGGAAGACCTCTCAGAGGAGGCGACATTTAAGCAGAGACGGGAAGCAAGTGGAGGGAGAGAGAGCTTCCCAGGCAGAAAGAATGATAAAGGCTCTGAGGTGGGAGGGGCATCGGGGTGCATGAGGAACCACAAGGAAGCCCAGTGTGGCCAGAGCAGAGCAATGGATGGGGAGCCAGAGGGATGGCATTCAAAGAGGCGGGTGGGGGCTGGGTCACCTAGGGCCTTGTCAGCCATGGCAAGAACTTTGGATTTGACTCCACTGGAGGGTTTTAAGCAGATAGGGTCTGACTTGCATTTTAAAAGGATGCCTCTGGCTGTGGTGTGGAAAACAGCGTAGGAGGGTTGACACCCAAAGGAAGGAGACCAGTTTGCAGTCTCCTGTAATAATACAGTTAAAATATGATGGCAGCTTGGGCTAGGGTAGTAATAATGGAGGTGATGAAAAGGGAGCGAATTCTGGATCTATTCTGAAGATAGAACCGAGCTGATGTGTTGACGGATTGGATGTGGGAGGTGAGAAAAAGAGAGGAGTCAACTGGAAGAACAGAGTTGCCACTTACTAGGATGAGCAGGACTAGGGGGTACACCAGGTTTGGGGCTCCTTCAAACCGCCTCCCCTACCAGCTTTGTCATGGAGCCTTCGAATCCCACAATCAAGAATCCCTGAGAGTTAAGGTCCTGAAGGCCCCTGCCAGCTGGGAAGGGGACACCTTAAGCTATTTTCTGCCATGAACACTGCAGTTGAAATCCATTTACGAGATTGGTTGCAGGAGGGCAGGGCCCTGAGATAAAGACACACCAGAGACAAATGTCCTCGTCAGGTCTTGGGCCCTGGTCCCAGCTGTGTTCTATTCCGGAGCCAGCAATCTCATTCCCCACAGAGGGCAGATTGCAGAAAGCCACCTGTTTGACCCAAGTGCGCTCGAACCTCAGGCGGTGGGTCTTGGTCCTGGCGGCGTGACAGAAACAGTGGGGCAGCTTTCAAAAACCCCTGATGCCCAGGCCCTGCCCCAGATCAATGACCTCAAATTCTTGGGGCTGGGGCCCAGGTATTGGCGTTTTTTTGGGTACGTTTCCAATGACTTCAAAACGTGGCTAAAGTTGCAGGGAACCACTGAGCTAAAGGAACAGCGGACTTCTCATCCTGAGCCACAGACGCGGTTTGTTGGCAGCAGATCGTACAGCACAACAAGATCCAGGGCTAGAGATCGTTGCAGAAAGTGATTACAGTATTGATTGTTCGTGGGAGTCAAGAAATGCCTTTGTGTGTTGCACAGCTTGGTGCTTAAATCCTGGGCAGGGGCTGCAGGCTGCAGGAGCACAGGACAGGGGCAAGACAGAAAGATCTGGAGCTACATTCAGGCAGCTCTGCTTGGCTCTGTCTCCACAGTAGTCCGAATGTCCACCTGGGGCGCCACAGACACGAGGCAGGTAAAATCTTCGCGTCTACCGGTCACCCCCTCCTTTCTCTGTAACCACCTGTCATTGGATGCCTTCACGCCCCGTGTGGACCGAGGCAGCTCTAGAGGCTTCAGCGGGCCGTGGAGTCCACCCTTCATTTTTACCCATGAAAACGGAGGCCTGGGAAGAGGATACGGTCTGCTCAAAGTATCAAAATAATTTGGTAGTGCAGCTGAAACTAAAACCCAGATTTCCCGAGTCTTGGATTGGCGACTAGGCCCCAGAGCCAGCTGAAGCTGGGTGTCCATTCCCGATCTTTCCCCCACTGGTTCTGATTCGACCCTGGTCTTATTGAACGGACCTCTGAACATATGGAAGGACCGCAACTGGTGTCCTTTTTTGTCTTCACCTATGAGGAGAGGACAGCCTCCTTGGGATCCCTACCAAAAGTCCCAGATTGGATCCTGCCTGACAGTTACGACTATACCCAAAAGATTCAGATATTTTTATAGGAGCAAAATCATGAAGGAGGAAGTGGAATTGCCCATATTTTCAGGGACTGTAATCATTTCCGGGGTCTGTGGTAGAGCTATTTTCAGCTTGTTCGTGCCTCATTCCTCCTTGACCCTCGTCCTGTCCGTCTCTAAGACTCTGTCCTATTCTCAGTCTTCAGCCTTGATCACTGATGGTGAGTCCCTCGTTGCCAACTGGTCTCGGCTACATGTCACAGACTCACGTCTAGCCTGACGCCCGCACACAGGTGATGTCTACCTTGCAGTGTGATGGGAGGGGTTCTCAAAGGTTGCCCTGTACCAAAGCATCTCTGAAGCTCAGCTATGTGGCCTGAAGTTCTTAATGCTAGGGTCACTCTTTTGAATGAAAAAGTTGAGAATCAGGAAGACCCTCATCAAAGCATGAATGCAGTACCAGGGAGGAGTAGTGAACATAATTCTGGGGTCAGTGGACTGCGGGCCTGCCTGGGCCAAATCCTGCCCACCACCTGTTTTTGTAAATAAAACTTTATCGGAATACAGCCGTGATCCTCCCTTGGGCACTACCTGTGTTTGCTTTTGCAACTATCATGCATAGCTTACAAAACTTACAATGTTTACTAGACAGCCTTTTACAGAAAAAAAAGTTTGCTGACCCCCGCACTAACTCGTTAGCACGCACGCCCCACCGTTTCCAAAACTTTCCTGATGGTAAGACTCACTGGGGAGCGCTTGCTGAAGCACAGATTTCTAGGCGCACGGCGGACATAAAAAGTCAGAATCTCTAGGAGCATAAGGCACAGGAATTTATATTGTTGAAAATGTCTTAGCCCATTAAGCAGAGATTAATTGAGTACCTTCAAAGCTGGGACATCTGAGCTCTTCACTGACCCCATTTTTTTCCCTCAAGCAGTTGGGAGTCTCATTTTGCAACAGGCACCCTTGCTGGCAAAAATGAATTTTGGCTGGAAACACGGGACCAGAATCACGAAGCACTGCCGGGGCCACTGTAAGCCCCTCAAAGCAAATATGAAGGGAGCAGCTCAGTGGAATAAGCAATAGAGGAGAGAGTCTGCCTCTCCCTCAGGACTGAATTCAGCAGCTGGTGATTCTCTGACCATTTTTTTTTTTTTTTTTAATTTGGTGGCTCTATCAGTACAGATTTCAGGGTTGGGTTCAAAGTCAGGTATATGGCCCAACATTTTAGTGCAAGATAGGGCCCCGCTTGGATTGTGAGAGGACAAAGCTCGGGTTCCTATAGCGCCCAAGCCTCCTAGTCTCCTTCCCGCTGGCTCATTGTCTTTGACACCTGAGCCTCTTTATAGGCAATTCCCATGGCAACCACTGTGGGAGTCTGGGACAAGGGAGGGCCATCCTGGTTTCACCAGACTACTGATAAGGGACCCAGGGCCTTCCTATCTGCACTTGGGGCCTGGAGGTGAACATGTCCTCTCTCCGGCTCCCAAGGCCCCCTGCGAGCCACACATGACCCTCATTCCTCATCTCTGGCCCCGACAGGTGGTTCTGCCCACAGTGCCCACACCGGGCTGCTTCCCACTTCTGCGCCCACCTCATGCTGCCTCTTCACCATCCCTGCCCTTCTGAGCCCCCAGTGTCCCCTTTGCTTAGCTAAATGCCATCCCTAAAGCCCAGCTCAAATTCTACCTTGGTCCTGAGTTCTTCCCCAATTCCTCCAGTGCCCTCCCTGGATTTCCTATAGTACTCCCCCCCTTTTTTTCCCCAGAGAGATAGAAGTGGGGGGAGGGGCAGAGGGAGAGGATCTTAAGCAGGCTCCATGCCCAGCGTGGAGCCTGACATGGGGCTTGATCCCACAACCCCGAGATCATGACCTGAGCCGAAACCAAGAGTCGGACGCTTAACCAACTGAGCCACCCAGGCTCCCCTATAGTACTCCTTGTTAATCCACACTCATATCCACTCATGTCCCCCCCCAGCTTGTAAAAGAAGAGACGGGATTTTATATTACTGTATCTACCCCTAGCACCAAGCATAGAGTAGGCACAGAATAAGAGGTAGCAGTTGATTGCTACTGTTCATAATGAATTAGTTCACCAATTCAGCAAATATGGTTTGAGTACCTACCATCTGCCAAGCACCATACCTCAAGAAGCTCTGTGATCACTCCACTAAAATACCCTCAATGGTCTGCCATCATAAAAGTCACTCCGTTAAAAGAACAATGTCATCTGAAAGAGACTACATGTTAGATCAGTAGTTCTTGATATGCATCTTGGCTGCATAAGGATCATTTTGGAAGCCTTTTTGAAAGACCAACACCTGGGTCCCCTCCCCAAAGCTTCGAATTCAATTGCTCAGGG